TCTTCTTACATGATACCAGTCTTAGGGACAAGTCGGGACCCACCACCCTCATTTTTACTTGACCTCTTTAGAATCACATTCTAGGGAACTGAAGGTTAGCACTATGAGTTTGTTGGATGGGAGGAGGTATTCACTCTGTAACATTGACCATTTGTCATCTTTGATTTAAAAGGAAAAAATTGTAACTACACTTGGAAATGTAAACTGAGGAAGATAGCTCATTAGCAAGTAGAAGCTGATTACAGTGAGCGAAGGGACAGTCCACTCTCTGTAATCTCAGTACAGTGTTGAGTAGAATGTGTCAGACCAAAAAAAAGGCCAGCCTTGTCTCTCACTGGTCTTGTCTTCCAGGGATAAATGTTTGAGCTGATAAAGGCACATAATGGAAGTCAATCTTGATTTAAGCCTCTGTTTTCTAGGTAATTGCTCAGCTCTGCTGTTTAAGAGTTTAGAGATTCCGGGTTTTTCTGAACTCCCTCAACGGACATTTGGGACTTCCAGAAGCAAGCCTCTTCAGGGAGCCTGGCCTGGTGAGAACCTTGGGTTTTGCTTTTACTTCTAGTCCTGAGGTCAGGAGCACACTGTTAAAACTGTGCTCTTAAAAATAGTTGGGTTTTTTTAAAGCTCTGTGTTATTTGATAATTACTCAGTCTCCAGTGGGCTGATGAGGCTGCTGCTAAGGTTTCTTTTGTGACAGCCTTTGAAGTGAGGGCTGTGGGTTATTGACCAGAGAGTGCTTAGGGATTTATTGTGCTCTAATCTAAGTTTTCTATTTTGTTTGTTAACCCCTACACGTATCAAAAATTATCATTACTTATCTAGCAGTTAAAACCATGTGATGGCTTATGCTTTTTATTTATTTATTTGTTGGTTGGTTGGTTGGTTGGTTTTTCTAAGACAAAGTTTTTCTGTGTAACCACCCTACCTGCCCTGAAACTCATTCTGTAGACCAGGCTGGCCTTGAATTCACAAATTCACTGCCTCCCAAGTGCTGAGATTAAAGGCATGAATCACCACCCAGCTATGGCTTATGTTTATAAGTCCTAGCATGTCAGAGGCTGAGGCAGAAGGGCTACCATGAGTTCAAATCCAGCCTGGACTATAATGTGAGTCTCTCTCTCTCTCTCTCTCTCTCTCTCTCTCTCTCTCTCTCTCTCTTTCTCCCTTTATCTCTCTCTACACACACACACACACACACACACACACACACACACACACACACACACACACAGAAACACAAAATAATACAACACACTCAAAACCATAAATCTGTTTCCTTTAAAAACTATATTGTGCCGGGCGGTGGTGGCGCACGCCTTTAATCCCAGCACTCGGGAGGCAGAGCCAGGCGGATCTCTGTGAGTTCGAGGCCAGCCTGGGCTACCACGTGAGTCCCAGGAAAGGCGCAAAGCTACACAGAGAAACCCTGTCTCGAAAAACCAAAAAAAAAAAAAAAAAAAAAAAACTATATTGTACTGAGTTTAATATGGCAAAAGCTACATTTCATAACAGTCCCCCCCCACCCCAATATTTCATCCTCTGCAAAGAGAATTATCCTTAAGTAACACCAGTCACTGTAGGTGCATGGAGGTGCTCGCCCATAAGACATTCTACTTGGAGACACCTCCAGATTAAATTGTACCGTGCAGGTTGCATTTGAATGTAAAATGCATTGAATGTGCTGAGATGCAGAGGGAAGTATCAAGTCTTCCTGCAAATGGGCTTCAATACTGAGGAAGAGATGAGTCAGAGAGTGGAAGTTTGTTCGTTGTTCGTTATGTTTTGTTTTTTGAGACAGGGTTTCCCTGTGTAACAAACTTGGCTGTCCTGGAACTCGATTTGTAAACTGGGCTGGACTTGAACTCACATGTCTTCCTGCCTCTGCCTCCCGAGTGCCAGGATTAAAGGAGTGAGCCACCACCGCCAGGCTGAGAGTGGCTCTCTTTACGAGAAAGTAATATGAAGTATGATAGGAGCACACAAAAGAAAGAGACATCACCAAGACAGAGAGGAGGCCAAGGGGGTGCTCAAAACTGAGGGAGGCTTTACAGTGGAATTTGACAGGCAGGCTTATGACCAGACCACTTGAAGAGAGGACATTCAGAGAAGAGGGAAGAGCTAAGTGCACGGACATCGCCAGGAATCAGTGCGACGTGTGTGGGAGAAGATGAGAGAGTATTGTGGGGGATAAACTGGAAAGGTAGATAGAGCCACATCTTGCATTGTCTTTTCTTGGGTATCATCTGAAAACCTGGAGGCCCATTCCTCAGATAAGGTGGACCAAGCCATTGTTTGTGGGCTAGAGCTGGACCTTATCATTGTCCTTTTAAAGACCAACTGCTCAGAAGGCATTGTGAATGATCACTACTCCAAGGATGAGGAACACCGTGAGAGACAGGCAAACCAGTGGGTTAGGTATGCTGCAGTGACCTGGGGAGAGAAAGCAGAAACCTAAAGGGCTAGAGGAGGACAATGGAGTCATGGAGGACGAAAGGGGCTTTTTCCTGCGTGCAAAAGCACAGCCTCGCTGCTCACAGAGCAGTGTGATAGCCTCAAGGTGGGTTCTAACCCCAAAGGTCTGGAAGGTTGGCTTTGTGACATGTAAGAAGCCTACATTCCAGAAGAGACCATTGCCCCGCCAAGTGTAAGGGCTTGTGAGAGCTTTAGTCAGACCTCTGCAGATTTCAGAAACTAGTCCATCTCTCTCACCCCCAGTTATATCAGCAGAAAGAAATGTGCTGAAAACTATTGACCAAAGTACTACTGTTTGCTGCTGAGATTCCAGTGTGGAGACATGGGGGATGCTGAACACAGTGTTCTTCCTCAATAGTCACAGGGCACTCGAGGTCGGCCTGGGGGTCTATTAACACAGAGCTTTAGTTTCGGGTCCCAGAACTAAAAAAGAGAAACAAGAATTTATCTAAAACTCAGCGTAATACCGTGAGTAAGATAGGGATGGAAAGGAAGCAAGATCATGGGAAGTCATTGTACGGAAGACACGGAGTTGCTAGATAAGGAAAAAACACTAAAAACTCTGGTCATTTGCTGAGTTTCTGGGAAAGCGGGTGTAAGTATAGCCAAAGGAAAGAAACAGACAGACGGACAAATGCAGGTCTTCACTAATCACACTGCGGCAAGAGCGGCAGAAGATGAGATGGTCTGCAGCCCGAGAAGACCCTTTGTGCTGCAGTAATAAAAAAGGAATCCCACACACCTGGCATCTAACTAGTAAGTCTAACCTCGCTTAGTTTTCTTTATCAAACAATTATCTTCCCACCTGTATCTGCACAATGAAACTTTATAACAACCCGTGACTTCCATACTGTTACGGTTTTGGCTTTTTGAATGGGCCACACAGAGAGGTCAAGCAACAAGCCTATCACCATACAGCCATCCTGTGGCATCGCTAAGAGATTAAGCACAGTCCATCTGACTCCTGAGTCCATGCTCTTAGGCAGGACACTGATGCTGTTGTATATTTGAAGGTGGGGAAAAAGAAGAGCTGGTTTAGTTGCTTGGTTGGTTTGTTAGTTAGGTTTTGTTTGTTTTAGATTTTTTTTTTCTTCTTGAGAAATTTTATGCATGAGTCCTGCATTTACATAATTTTGACCACTTCTTTCCTCCAACTCCTCTCATGGCACTCAACTCCCCCAGATGCAACTCTCCCTCAAATTCATAACTTGGTTTATTATTACCGGGGTGTGTGTGTGTGTCTTGTGTGTATGTGACTATAACCTGCTGAGCCCATTTAGTGCTGCTCATGTGTTGAGTGTTTGTCAAAGTGCCCTGAATATGGGCTCTGTTGCTTTCACTCTCCCTTCAGTTTTCTTTTTCGTTTATTTCCTTTTTTCAATTTGATAGATTGAAAAAAAAAGAACCAGAAGAACCTCAGGAGGGCGCTGTCAAAGGCAAGAGCCTTGCTGGAGGCCGAAGGCAGTCACAGCATTCACAGCTGTCCATTTTCTCTGGTAGCTAACTGCTTAAGTTGTGAGGGTATTAGAGACTCGGAGATGAATTAGACGTGGTTTCTGCCTTCAAGTGCATAGTGCAGAGGGGGTAGCCAGGAGGCTTTCTTCTGCGTGCAGACAGTTGCTAACCACATCATGGTGCACGGGGACTACTTCTTATGGAGGTGTTGCTCAATGAAGAGAAGTTAGGAATGGAGGGAGTGGAAGACAGGGCCCTCTAAGCAGAGACTATTAAGAAGTAACAAGTAAGGGAAGATGAACGCACATGAGAACCCACAGTTGTTCCTCATAGCTGGGAATTGAGCATGTGTGATCGCATGATACTCATCCAAAAACAGAGATAAATTAGACCAGATTTTGACGTTCATCCGGCTCATAAGCATCATTTGAGCCCTAGTGAGGATTTTTAGATTAGCGTTTCTAGGTGCCTGCTAAGGCTACACACCAATGGCCCAAGTTAAGTTTAGTTAACATCAAGAAGTTGAAGTCTTCGCATTCTTTTCATTTACATTATATCATGAGAGTTGGAGAGACAGCTCAGAGGTTAAGAGCACTGGCTGCTCTTCCAGAGGACCTGGGTTCAATTCCCAGCACCCACGTGGCAGCTCACAACTGTCTGTAACTCCAGTTCCAGGGGATCAACATCCTCACCCAGACATATATGCAGGCAAGACACTAAATGCACATAAAACAAAAATAAAAGGAGTATTTTTTAAAATAAAATAAATTAAATCATATCATGACAGAAGAGAACAGATGTTTGGTCACACAGTCTTACTTTCAGTAGGTGCACATCTGGCTCTCATGTGACAGCCTGAAGTTCTGGGGTTTTTTTTTCCTATTAAAAAACAATCAAGTGCTTTTATAACTCTGCAACTGATTCTGTGACCAACAAAGCTCTGAAATGTGCCCAGAGCAGTAATAGAAAAGGACTCTCTCCTCTTAGGCCTAAATAGCCATCATGTGTTTCAGTCTGAGTTGAATTGTATGTTTCTTCTTCCTCCCTTTTAAACAGGAATTGTTTGACAAAAGATGATGGAAAAAATCCTGGAGAAGTTAGATGCCCTGGATGAGAATGCAAGGGTACTTGCAGCTGTCAGATCAAAGGTATATGAAGTGGAAGCTGAGAAGACTATACCCGTTAAAAAAACTAACGTTTCAGATAAGATTTTTACTTTATAATTAATGGTGCATTAATATGACAAATCCACTTACATCTTCATATAAATGGCTTTCAACTTTGTAAGAAGATCATTTGAAAGTCATTTATCTAAGTAGATAATAAAAAGACTTAAGTAATCAAAGACATAATTCAGTGGTAGAGAGCTGGCCTAGTATACTGGGGGCCCCAGAACAGCAAAAAAGAACAGCAATGATAACAATTAACTATACAAGATCACTTCTAGGTAGCTGTCATGTGCTAGGTCACATATGTATCAAAACTGCTTTAAAAAATACTGCCTCCCAAACACTAACTATGGCTACCCACAGTTGTTACCAATATGCTAAGTATATACAAAGTTACTTAGTAGATACAGAAAAGCATCAAGTCCCACCTCTAACCAGGAAGCTATTTGCAATTGACAGCTACTGGAAGAAGGAAAACTCAGTTGTTTTTTTTTTCAATGGAGTGACACTCCAGGACAGACCGCATGCTCGGGAGCAATTGGTCAACACAAATCGGACTCTATGTTTGTGGGGTTGGTTTTGGGTTTGGGTTTTTTGTTTGTTTTAAGAAAGAAAGAACACGAAGTTGTGGGGCAGATCTCAGAGGAATAGGATAAGAAGAAATAATATGATCAAAATGCAGTGTAGAAAATTCTCAAAAAAATTAAGTAAAACTTTAAAAAGGAAAAGTAACATTTGGCATTGTTACTGAATTAAGAATAATTGAACTATGTAGAAACAAAGTAAACTTAAATAGGCAGAACTCAGAATTCAAGGCAAAACAGTTAACAAAGATAATACTTCCCAAATACTAGAGTTTTAGCATATGAGTAAGTTGATTTTTGTTCCCGGGAAATTCTTTTTAAAGTATATACTATAGGCTCAGAGCAACTTACAGCTCCAACAGCCATCCAGCAGGGAGGAAACCTGCAGTTTAGTCTGCTTGATTTCTCCATGTCCTGCAGCCAAAGTGTGTGAGTGACATCGCCAGCAATACGCTCTTACTTAGTTCAGTTCTGACACTCAGTCAACTATACAGACAACAGCCTTATCATTTTCATGGTCTTAGGGATGGACCTCCATGGGCAATCCTAGGGAGGCAACCCACCACTGACACTGAGGCCATCCCCTAACAGCCCTATTGCTCTTGGAAGTACCTTTTCAACTCACACTTCTTTCAAAATCTTTCATTGCTATTTCTACTGTTCTTCCACAATGTTCTTACTAATCCGTAAAATGCTCAATATATTGTAAATATATATAATATATATAAACACATTATATAATTTAAAAACCTTTTTACACTTATTCCAAGCAAATGTTAATTAATCTTGGGATTTAAAAAACCAAGAGGATTTTTTAAGTCAGCAAGGTTTAATACAACAAGAACGATTCCATCACTTGAACCAATTACTTCATCAAAAAATGACAGTACTGAGTAACTACCTCATCTAGCTTTCCCTGGTCCACTGAGACATCTGGCCTCTTCATCCTGGGGTGCTACCACTGCTGTAGGTCCAATGTACGTCTCCCCATCCCCAAGGGTCCCAAGTGAAGCCTGATGACTCTGATACCCATAGAACAGGGCCAAAGGCATTCATGCATTGCCCTGGCATTCCCCCCTCTTGAGCTGGCTCCCTGGGTGAGGGTGACAAGCTCCAAGAAGGAACTGAGGCCTCACCTCTCCATCAGTGATACCTAACTGGTTAAAGAGCTACAGACTGAGTGAACAATCCCCACTCCGGTGTACTTTCTTGCAGAGAACAAATACAAAACATATTCTCTAGGGAAAATAATTGCCTACCCCCAGGACAAGTTTAATCATTCCTTCTCATACTGTTCTATCCCTGTATCCATCTATTGCTGGCCATTGCTTCTGGTACTTTGGGGAGCTTTCATTACTTAAAATATACTTAGCTCCGGTATCCATTGAAACACAAGTGTTTTGCACATTAGTCAGGAAGCAACAAATCTACAGTTCACTGTGGAGTCTGCAATCACCATTTGCCAGTTACCTTGGGTACACTTTCAAAGATTTCCTTCCTCCACACCAAGGAGTTGAAGCAGGAATACCTGGTACCTCCCTGTATGTTACTCCTTTCATACTGATTAATTGGCACCCAACCTTTAAAGCCTCCAAAGACTCATAAGCACAGTATTTGGATTTCTAGTAATCCCGTCTCCCAGAAAGAACTTTGTTTGACAGGGATCTTGCCACCTTTGCTTTCAAGTAACCTGGACAGGTCCAGTCATCCTTTTTCATCTCCTGAGTATTTTAGAACCTTCTGATGCCAACTTATCTGCCAGTGTCAGTCATTCAGATCTGCCACAGCTCTCCTTCCTCATAAAGATTGCATCCCACTGTGGAGCTCAACAAGGCCACTGAAGACCCAGTTCAGTATTCAATGCCCATTCCTGTTCAGCTTTGTGGAACGGGCACCAAACACTGGCCCTCAAAGCCACATACCCCTCAATCATGCCTACCCATCCTCTGCTGTCTTCTAGTCCCTGATATATGGGCACCCGAGCTGGCAATAACCGGCATGTAAGTGACAGTTCATCGGGAACCTGTCTCCCTCTGATTTCCTCCGATCCTACAGCCTTTGTCTGAAGGAGGAATGAGTATTCTATTACTTGGTTTCTCTGTTTCTGCTGCACTCAGACTTGTCCACCCTGTGTCCCTTGACCTCAAAAGCTAAGCAGTGAGAAGCTCTTCTTTCCTGGTTGAAGTCGTTCAGATACTGAATATCTCCTGCTTATCACAGTTTCCTACCCTGTGCCTATTAGGGCTCTATCTGCATGCTGAGTCATAGGTTTTCCTTTGAGTTAACACTCAGACCTGAGGGCTCTCTTCTGTCACTTATATAGTGCGAATTCTAATTGGTTTTAATAATAAAAACCCAGAGTCAGATTTCAGGGTGAAAGCTGAAAGATCGGAGAAGCAGAGCAGCTAGCCTCTAGAGAGACTTCTTACCTCTTGGAATCCTCAGACTGAAAGGGTCCCAGCTCCGGTCTCCACCCCGCCTGATCACTTCCTCTCTCTACCCAGCCGTATCACTTCCTGTTTCCTTCTCCCAAGTACTGGGATCAAAGGCATCAGAGGCTAGTGTTGAGATTTGCATCTACATGTCTTTTTCCCATGGGAATTCCTTCCTTACATGGGTAAGTTCATTCTGGGTGGAAAGATGAACTTCAGTTACATGCACAGACCATGCAAGTGATACCATAGCTCGCTTACCATCATATCCACGCCATTAACCAGATTGTAATATATTATCTGGTCCATCAGCCACAACTGGAGAGCATCTCCTTACTCAGGTCGTAGACATGAGTCATCCAAAAGGAATGCCACCACATTCCACATGGAGGAAGATGATCACCCTGGGATGTCTTGCAAGCATGCTGAACTCTCAGATGGCTCAATCCTGGTTGCATGTCTTATCACCCATAACAGGAAGCATACAGCTGATAGTGCACAAAAGAAGCACACTATCTCATATCATACGAGGAAAGAAAGTCATGTCAGGGTTGCATACAAAGGATGCTCCACCCTCAGATGGATCAATATCAGTAGCATGTCTTATTACCCATCATAGGGGACATGTAGCTGCACCACTCCAAATCATATTTGATTGTTGGTCCCTGTACAGATGTGAATTATATGATTCTTTCTGGAGAGACACAAGCAAACATCTGCTCACCACAGGAGGAGCAGACAACAGATCAAAAAACTGGTGAACCCAGTGAGTTTATTGGGGTTAGTTATGAGAGCATGCATGCCTCAGAGGCAACTACATCACCAAACAGCTCACTCCAGCATCGATGATAACGCATAAAAGCCATATCCTTGGATTCCCTTCGCAATTTGCAGGTGGCTCCGCAGAAGAGATCCTCTTCCCCAGCAACTGGTTACGACTTCTATAACTTGGGCAGGGACCTTGAAAATCTTTCTTTCTCAACTTCCCAAGTCTTATAAGTTTCATGAGCTTCCTGTCCTAAGGCCCTCCCTCCCCCTCCAGGCAGGAAGATTTCAATTCAGAGGAAATAAGTCTACAGCAATTATATAGGTCTCTCCTTAAATTCTAAAAATTTAGAGTTAAAAAGGCTCCTGAATGGTTATCAGTGTGTTACCTTTATTGAATAGATGGGATAAGATTCATATAGGTCACACAGTAAAGGTATAAGAATCTTTTCAAATTTTAATGCATAATGTTTTCAGTCTTTCATTTTAAATCTGAATTATTTTCCATTATTCCCTTACACATTAATTCTCTCTATCCCTCTGTCTCTGTTTCTGTCTCTGTCTCTCTCTCTCTGTAGAGAGAGAGAGAATAATTTGTCCTTGATATACAGAATTTTGCCTGTCAAAAGAACACTTACTTTTTCATTTTGACTTCACTGCAGAAAGCCAACCCTCAGCTTAAACAGAGAGAAAATCCTTTGACTACACCTCTGCTGTTTGATCTTCAAGTGGAATTTGGAGGCACAATTACTCCACCTACATCTAAGACAGTAGCAAAGATAACAGCTAAGTCATGTGACCTTAAAACGTCAAAAGTGTAACTATCATAATTCAGTGGAAAGTTTTAAAGCACTGTATTTGCTGTAGATTATCTGATAATGTAAGAATATACAACTAGCCCAGCATAGTGGTACACACCTTTAATCCCAGCTCTTGGGAGGCAGAGGCTGGCGGAGCTCTGTGAGTTCAAGGAGAGATTTAAGAGGAGTTATATTAGGAGAATGGACTCATGGGATTATGGAGACTGGGGAGCCCCAGACAGGCCTTCTGCAGACTGGAAACTTTGGGATGTTAGTACCATGTTATGGCACCACATAAAAGAAAGGAACCCTTGGTGTCTTTTACCCAAGGATGAGCCTGATTTATTCTGAAGAGCTCTGATCTCTCCTTCTGAACAAGCCCACTCTTCCTATTTATTGAACACCAAAGTAAATATGGTATTGAAAAGGGATGAGGAATTTCTGTTTTAACAATTTTTTTTTACAGCAACCTCATCAAGGAAGATACTCTTTTTCTGACTCTTTTGACTCAGAATAGCACACAAAGACACAAGCAGACATCATCAAATATTACCAGTCTATACCCACATATTGTCTTCAATATTTAGGGGAGGTTGAGGCTTTACTTTCAAGACTTTGTTGCTTCAGCAAATGGCCTTAGGTCTAGTCACCACATCTTACGCACATGTTTTGTTTGGAGTCAGGGCCATGAATGATCAATGAGCCAAAGCATAATAAATCTGATTGCAATGATTTTGTTTTTGCTTTTTTAAGGTCAATTAATTTCCAACAAGCTGAGTAGATTATACATAAGCAGAATGAGTACATGGTTATAAAGATCTCAAAACACACAGTAACTTGGTTACAGGTTGAGAGTTTGCTCTATAAAGGCCAGCTTCAAACAGCATTTCTCAGCCAAACCATCCACACAGCAGCATATGAGAGGTTGGTGGTCCAAATTTTCATCTGAAGTTGAAGGCCTGAAAACCTGAGGGAAGGTGGGAGCACTTGGAGTCTTGGAACCCAAGGGACAAGGGACCTAGAATTCTGGTATCCAAGAACAGCCAGAGATGAGTGAATCATTTGGGGAAGAGGAAAAGTTGTTTGTTGTTGTTGTTGTTGTTCTATTTAGAATCCCAGAGGATTGAATGGTACTTGCCCACACTGAGGGCAGATTCCCCTTCAGTCCACTAACTCCTGTACCTACCTAGTCTAGAAACACTCTTGCAGACCTACCCAGAGAGAATTATTTGGCAGTTCTTTAGGTAATCCTGGACTCAGTCAAGGTGACACCTAAAAATCTTAGCCACCGTACTGTTACCAGAGTTGTTAGGGTTAGACTCCAGTCCTCCTAACCCTGACAAGCTAGGCTCAGCCACTCATCCTCAATACACCACATACAGAAAGAACAGTAAAGGACAGAGAAAGCAGAACTGTTCCCTGTGGCCACTGTGAACAAATTGGGAAACAAATAAATAGGTCCAAGGACATGTAGTCCCCCTACACACACACACACACACACACACACACACACACACACACACACACACACACACACACACACACACACACACTTTCAGAATCCTGACATGGGATTTAAGTTTAAATAGAGGGCAAGGGGCATGTAGACCTAAGCATTGTGGTCAAGATGTGGTCCTACTGATCCTCACCACCTCATCCCCCGTGTGCTCTGAAAGGTGGTTTGATAATCTGCCAGTACTATGTGAAGTCTCTTTCTAGGAAACCAGCTCCTCCTCTGGCTGATGCTAGGCTTCGGCCCTCCCCTTCGCTCAGCATGAGACTTCTGAGATATGTCGATTTCTTGCAGTCCACCATTTCAAGGAGTCTGGTATAAGTTTCCTTCCTCGGAATATCTTCACTCCTCTTGGGACAGTTACAGTACCTAGAATAAAGAGCGTAGAGTGAAATTCTCCATGTAATACATAGATGCTGTCATCCTGTCTGATGTATGAACTGTCCCTGAGTCCATATCTCACCACTTTCCATTTAGATTTGTCCCCCCAAATCTCCTGGAACCAAGTTCTGATGTGTGTTCTGTGAATATTGGCACCCCATGTGCCCTGGTTCCTGCGCTAGCAGCAGGTTTGTCCCCTCCACTTCAGGTTCCTTCTCCAGTCAGTCTCAGTCTTCGGCCTTCAATCTGTAAAATGGGCATGTTTATAGTTCTCCAAATCTGTATTTTAGCTATGTTTTGTAAATTTTCTGATTATTTTCATTCAGAATAACTTTCGTTTCTTCCAGGCGGACATCTTTCAAATATAAGCCTAAACCCAGAAGTGGCTTTGAAGAGTCAGATTTACCTGGTCTTGCAGCAAATACAAACTGTGAAGAAAGTGAGTCAGTGGGTGATGCTGTGTGTAATACTGACTTTCGTTTATTAATGAGTGCTATTGAGTAGTAGTTTATTAATTACTTTCTCCTCCTCCTCCCACTTATATAAACACACACACACACACACACACACACACACTTAGATGTAATCTCACCTTATTGCCCTGTCTAGACTTGAATTCCTTAGACTCAAAAGATCTCTCTGGCTCATCTTTTCAGGTAACCAAGCATCTACCATCATACCTGGTTCACAAATACATTTTTATGAATACATTTTTGTTTATGTAGTTATTTCATTTCTTTTCCTGGGGAGGCATGAAGAAATAGCAATTACCCCAGACAGTGAGGGTATGAACAGACCAAAGAAAAATGATTCTATTTAAGTCTGATAAATCAAAAATCCATTCAGATTATTTCCGTGAGTATACATGGATGAAAAGTTACTTACAGGAAGATGGATGACTCTTGCCAGGATACCACCAGGAAGTCCCTCCCCCAGGAGTTACACTATTGAAGAACCCTAACCCTCAGTCAACCTTCCCACCTTCTGTATTTCCTGATTATCACCCCTTCTTCCCAGGCCATGTGCACAGGAGCAAAATTATGTGCATCTTGAGGCAGGGGTAGTGGGGGTGGTGACTGGAATCACATGAGAGCCTAGTGACCCTCACCTCTCCTAGGAAGGAATGTTAATAGCTTTCACCACAGACTCTCACTGTATTGTCCTTATTTCCTTACATGCAGAAGGTCAAGACGTTCCGTATGTCACCATAGCACTTGCTGAGTCATGATGGCCAATGGTCAAGTCACGCCTAGAGGAAGTAGTTCTACTACGGCACTATTTTTTTTCTTCTAAAAGGAAATGCCAACTTTTCTTTTAACTCAACTCTAAGACTTTCCTTGCAGTTAAGAAATAAAAGTCAAGTATGAATTGCTTGTTTAATAGAAACATACTTACAGGATTAGAAATTTTAGGAACCTGTGGTCCCAGACCCAGCATTTTATTGGTTTTCAGAGGGGTTGAGTGTTGTCTGTTACTTTTGTTTTTCTCTGTCCTTGTCAGCCTGGTGATTACACTGTCATCACCCTCATTGACCAAGGCTTCTTGTCTACACTCTGCCCCTGAATGCCTTATGTCTATGTTGTGCACTATAAAGTCTCAAAAGATGTGTTTATACACATGGCCTTTACTCTCTCCATTCCTGTTTAAATATCGACTCACTCCAGTCAGGATCCCTTCCTTGCTATTCTGCTTGAAGTACACTGATGATCAGGATTGCCAGTGGCCCAATGTTGCTAAATCCAAACATTTTTCACTTCCATTTTCTTCTACTTCTCAACTCAGTTGATCGTCCCCTTTTTTCTTATCTTTTTTTATTAAGAAATTTTTTATTCATTTTACATACCAACCACAGATCTCCCTCTCTTCCTTCATCCTGCTCCCTCCAGTCCCGTCCCCCCCCCCCCCCCCCCCCCCCCCGCAAACCACTCCACATTCCCTCCTCCAAAAAGGTAAGCAGAGCCTGGTATATTCAGTTGAGGCAGGTCCAAGCCCCTCCCCCTGCATCAAGGCTGTGCAAAGTATCCCCCCATAGGTAGTGGGCTCCAAAAAGCCAGCTCATACACCAAAGATGGATCCTGATCCTACTGCTAGGGGCCCCTTAAGCAGACCAGCCCTCTTCTCTGTCTTCAACTGAACTCCTGGAGCTTGGCCTGGTGCTTGGCTGTGGATCTCTGCATCTGCTTCCATCAGTTACTGGATGAAGGCTCTATGATGACAGTTAGGGTATTCACCAATCTGATTACTGGGGTAAGCCAGTTCAGGCACCCTCTCCACTATTTCTGGGGTCATCCTTGTGGATTCCTGGGACCTTCCCTGGCACCCAGTTTCTCCCTATCCCTATGATGTCTCCCTCTATTATGGTATCTCTTTGCATTGCTCTCCCACTCCATCCCTGTTCCAGTTTCTTGAGTTCTTTATATATTCTGGAGATCAGCCCTCTGTCAGGTGTGGGGTTGGTAAAGGTCTTTTCCCACTCTGTAGGCTGTCGATATGTCTTATTGACCGTGTCCTTTGCTTTACAGAAGCTTCTCAGTTTCAGGAGATCCCATTTATTAATTGTTGTTCTTGGTGTCTGTGCTACTGGTGTTATATTTAGGAAGTGGTCTCCTGTGCCAATGTGTTCAAGGCTACTTCCTACTTTCTCTTCTATCAGGTTCAGTGTAACTGGATTTATGTTGAGGTCCACTTAGACTTGAGTTTTGTGCACAGTGACAGATATGGATCTATTTGCATTCTTCAACATGTTGACATCCAGTTATGGCAGCACCATTTGTTGAGCATAATTTCTTTTTTCCATTGTACAATTTTGACTTCTTTGTCAAAAATCAAATGTGGGGATTAATGTTAGGATCTTCAATTCAATTCCATTGGTCCACATGTTGGTTTTTATGCCAATACCAAGCTGTTTTTATTAATGTAGCTCTATAGTACATCCCCTCCTTCTTGAAATTCTCAGTTTTAAGCTTTTGGGACTATTGACAGCAAACACAACTCTCACTCAAAAGAAATAAGAAATAGTTTATTTTTTATCCAAATATGAGTGTCCATGGCATAAGAACATGGATTTCAAATGCCCCAAATAATATGTCCCTATGTGGAAATGTATTTTTGAAGTTATCATAGGTAAGGAACAAAAGAAAGTCATAAACCAAGGTGTTTTCCAAATATATTGGTGAGAACATTGAGGTCACAGTCAAGTGACGAAATCTCAGCTAGAGGTTTCACATGTTTTCTGATAACTCCCTTACCTTTGGGGATGGTGAAATCTTGTGGTTGACTACGTTAATACCTTTAGAAAAGATTTGCCTGGGAGTCACAAGGATGTTTGGTCATATGCAGATGTGGGCAATGAATGGCTATTGAAAATCTAACCAGAATACCAGAGATTGTGTCTCTCACTACAGAAATCAAAAGGCAGAATCTTGAAAGCTCACTTTATGTAGAGAGCCAGCCATCTCAGTGTATTGTCTAGGGAGTCAGTACAGAGGCGAGTCATCATTTCAAAGTTTTGTCTTTAACTTCGGGTTGGGAAGCTTGCCTTGTCCATGAGATTCATGATGCTACTACTTCTCTTCTTATCGCTCCCTGCACATTCCCCTCCTTATCAGCTCACTCTGTGTAGTGAGGAGCTCGTGTACACCTAAGGCTCCCAATTCCTGCATTTTTCCTGAGTCACTGTCCAGACTATCTCTACGTTAAAGGTTAACTCAGAACAAACAAAGCATTAGCAATGAGAATTGCTGGGCTGCTTTTAATACAGGTGATATGAAGTACAAATGTGCCCTCATACTGCAGAATATGACATTCCCCTATCTGTCTCCTCTTCTTTCCTACTGTTAGTAATTACTCATACTGGTTTCACATGAAATAAGGCATCTGCAGCTAGGCATATCATTGTTAGTTCAGCATCTTACCAGCAAGAGAGGCTGTGTAAGTCAGAGCACTTTTACAACAGCACACAGATGTGCAGAGGAGTATAATCAACAGGAAAAGCAGGAATGCTGCCCTGAGGCCAGAAAGGCTTGGGAGCCAGGAGGCACAAGAGGTTAACACTGAAGAATCCTCCTCTATTCTTTATGTCAGAGACAGTGTCATCAACTGCATTAGCTTTTTGTTCAACCCACTGAGCTTTGCCTGTTAGGTTAAAATTGCATCCTTCTACATTTTTTTCAGTTATCTCGCAGTACTGAATTATCCACTGTAGCCCATTTCCTAGGACTGCTTCCCCTACTGGACCTGATTTCTGTCCAATAGCCCCAATAGGCTTTTACCATAGATCAAGTTAGATGCTCAACTTCTGAGTCCTGAAGTGGCATCATAAATGTTCACAGAGGTATACACCATCAGGAATGAGTGATCTATCAGTGTGCTGTACTCTCAGAAGTCAGTGTGTGGGAAATGGCCCTCTTCTTCTTGCCTGGTGAGTTAGTTACTTTTGCTGTTGCTGTGATAAAATATTCTGACAAAAACAACTTGAGAAAGGAAGGGTTTATTTTGCCTCACAGTTCCAGGGCTACAGTCCATCATGGTGGAGAAGCTCAAGGCATCAAGTCATGGTGCACCTGCAGACAGGAGCGGAGAGAGATGGATGCAAGCTCAGTTCCCTTTTCTTTATGTATGCAGTTCAGGATCTCAGTCCAGGGAATGGCAATGCCCATTCTTAGGGTGGGTCTTCCCATCTCAATTAACCTCATCTAGGTAATCCCACACAAGTATGTCCATAGGCTTTTCTCCCATGTGAGTCTAGATCCTGTCAAGTTGACAACCACTGTCAGTCATCACACCTGTAAGTCTGGTGGTAAGACAGCTATTTCAAGAGTCTTCCTAGCCTCTGGGGCTGTTCATGGGCACAGAGTCCATTTCAGATCTCCTGTTCATTTGGATGTCTGTTAGTCTTTGATGTCATCTTCACCTTGCGTTGTATATATGAGGCTTAACTCCAGCAAGCTGCTCTGTTATGAGTGTCACCTGAACCACCTCCCGTGGGCCAGTCCACAACTCAGTCTTCCAGAGAGCCTGTGTTTCCAGTTTTCAACAGAACCTTGTCACCAAGGGAAGAATCTCTAACACATGCATCCATTCTAGGTAAGTTTAAAAACGTGATTCTGGATTTTCCATTCCCAGTCTCTTGCCTAGTCACCTAGTTTAAGCCTGGTCTGGAGTGGCTGCCCATAAACAATGTCATGAGGGCTCAAGTCAAGGGAACCCTAGGGAAACTACTCTTATTCCCTCAGAGCAGGCGGGACTTGATCCCAATGTAGGTGCATTATGGCACAATTTCAAGATTGTCCTTTCCAAGGCATGATTCATCTTTTCTACCCTATCCAAGGTTTGGGGTCACCAGGATCTAGGTAGTCTCCAGTGGATTCACGTGTGTTTACACTTTCTGTTATCTCAAAAACAAAGATAGAACAGTTATGATCATGCTATTAAACAGTC